CCCCCCCCGCCCCGGGCCGGGCCGTGCCGGGCCGTGCCGTCCGTCCCCCACCTTCCCCGGTCGAGTCTCGTGGGAAGCTGTAACCGAGCTGTGTGCTGGCGCGGGGAAAAGCGAGTGCCAGCGCTCGCAGGCGCCTGGTGCCAGCCGGCCTCGGGCGCCAGCAGGGGCGGGAAGGGATTCCTCTTGAGGCGGTGGCACTGTCCCCGGCTGTGGGGCATCTCCGGGCCGGGAGCCGCCGGAGCGCGCAGGCTGCCTTCCGAGGATCGACTTCAAGAGGAGGAAAGCGTTCAAGCCACAGCCGCCTCGGTAGGCGAGGCGTATCCTGACGAGCGTAATAGCTTAACGCGGGTATTTTCGTACGCCCTTTGTAAGGCCTGCTGCCCTATCAGCCCCAGTCTTACGTAAAACTGATACGTCATGGCCGTGTTGGGGTTGAACTTTGCAGTAACTATATATATAAAATGAAGCGTAGTCTTACAGGATTTGCATTGGTCTGAGAAGAGAGCCCTGGCTTTTCCTTTAGGCCACAGGTCCCATGAAATTTAAATTCTGACCAGTTTTGTCCCGCTTCACGTAATCACTTACGGTTGAATTGCTGCAAATACCTTTTTCTTTAATGGCTTCTTGCATGTGTATGGATTAGTATGACAAATGTTCTCTAAACATGCTGATTAAGTTTTCCTTTTTCAGCTGCTCTAGTATCACCAAAGCTTAGGAAACAACACTGCTCATCTCGTGCCGTATATTTATCGTAGTCATAATGAGTAAGTTCACTGAGCTCTGTTGAGTTGATTTTTCTGGGCTTTTGTCACATTAGCAACAACTAATAGTCAATAAGAGCTTATCTGACTTCTTTTGGTGAAATTGTTCTTCTGTAAGGTTCAGATCAGTGCATGCACACGTGCAGATGCTTCTGTACTGCAGAGGACTGAAATAAAAGGAAAGCTGTTGAGACTCTTATGGAATAAACAGTTTTATAAAATATCATTTTGTTGAGAGGTGCATTATTCATATATGATTAGTCATACTTTGTATGACTTGATTTACCAGCACTGCTTAATTTTTTTTTTTTTTAAATTTATTTATTCTTTTAATGAGTGCTTTCCAAAGCAGCCAGTCTGCCTGTTGCATTTCTGGTTGGAGGAGTTATATACTCTCTCTACAGAAGTGTTTGTACTGCCTAAAAGAAACTGGTTGCTAATACAGGTTTGGCCTGTACTGCATACAATGTCAATATTTACCAAGATAAGCTGTTTTTAATACAAATTATTATTAATTGCTGCGGCCTTTTTTTTTTTTTAAATTTATTTTTCCTTTTAATGAGTGCTTTCCAAAGCAGCCAGTCTGCCTGTTGCATTTCTGGTTGGAGGAGTTATATACTCTCTCTACAGAAGTGTTTGTACTGCCTAAAAGAAACTGGTTGCTAATACAGGTTTGGCCTGTACTGCATACAACTCTACTTTTGGCTAGTCTTTTGAAATTGAAGATTGCCTGTCCAGGGTGTTTTCTCAATAGGCTTTTTACATATTTGTCTTGTAATTTGTCTGTTGTAAATGTTGCAAAATTTAAGATTCTTCTGTATAAAATGTTTTATACAATGTTTTGTGCTTTTCTACGTAATTTCTGTAGCAAGTTGCTCTTAATGTGTAATGCACACAGTTTAGTTTTTCTTAATTGGTAGCTGTGGTTTGTACAGAGTGTACACAGTGAAATGAAATGGCAACACTGGCTAATAGTTTTGTAGTGCTCTGTATTTGTTCTTTTATCAATACTTGTATTTTAAAGATTTTGAGGTAGTATGACGAGAATGGGACTTAATGTATCAGTAAGCCAATATTATCCAATAGCTTTGTATCTTTTTTTTTTTTTTACCCTCTTAAGATCATCTAGAGGTATTTGGAAAAACTGCATACCATATCGTATGGGGAAAAACCCTAACGTTAGAATGACGTTGAAAAGTGGATGTTTGAAGGGAGGCAGTGAAAGCATGCTGTGTACTCCCATTTTGTAACTCCTAAACATGGGTAAAATAAGCGCATATCAGTACTTAAAAGCTAACTTTCCATAACATGCTGGTATAGCTGGACCACTTTCCCCTCTTTTTCCTTCCAAAATGGTTGCCTGAAACATCTTTTTTTCCTCCCCGTTAGGATGGCAAGCTTCAATGAAAAGTGGGAGTCTGTCTTATGTTCTACCATGCAATCGTCTGCCTGTGCAGTTGATGAGTCAAGTGAGAGTTTATACCTCCAATGGTCAGAAAAAAGATCTTGGATCAGAAGATACAAATAGATCAACCCCTGAAGAAACCCTGCATAAAGTTGGAACAGGTAGTACTAAGCTAAAATAAAGTGTTTATATAAATGTAAAAACTTTATGTAGTTAACAATTGATAACTTTTTTTTTTTCAATTGTGTGATATTCTGGTTGCAGAATTCTTAGTATTTGTTGCTTGTGGGCATCAATGTATAAATTTCAAATGCATAAGAAGGGAGGAATGCTGAAATTTATTTCTCTGTCATTCCAGTATTTAAAGGATTTAAGTTTAGAGTAATCAAATTTAAAGTGGTGATGATAAAATGTGGATGTCAGAAAGGATTAGGTAACTTAAGGGATAAGAAATGGAATGTATTACTTGTCTTTTACCACTTCGCTTGCTTACTTGAATTCTTTTTGTAGTATTTCAGGTTTGTTGTGTGAAATGAACTAGTGATAAAGATTGAATGAATGTCAATACTGAGCACTGTGACTTCTCCAGGTCAGGCTATAGATGACTGGTAAAGAAGGTTGAGCTGTTTCATCTGCTAGAGCTTTCTAATCTGACAGTTGTCACACCTGCAGCATTCACATTAAACACTTGGTATAATGGACATAACCTGACCCTCCTTGCTGTTCAATTTGATTGTCAATCTTGTGCTAGTTAGGTGCTTGTGAAATTCAGAACTGTCTTGTCCTTGCTCCATTGTAGCATCCTCTATTTTTTCTGCTTATTAAGTGTAGGACTGTACAGGTATGTGTTTGGAAGACTACTGTGCTTAAGAGGTAACAAATGCATTTTAAAATGAAAGCTTTCTTTCTATGTGCTTTTGTCTAAAACTAAGTGGTCTACTAAAGAAAATTTTCTTCTCTTCATTGTCAGCTTAGCAGGCATTCGTTATTTCTTTAGTAACTTGTAAATTCCTGAGGCTTGCAGCAGTATTTAAAAGCTAGTAACTATAGCCAACTAAGAGTATTATTTTTCTGATGTTTGGAAGTAGAAAGGTGGATCTTAAATGTTGGTCTGAGTGTAACAATTAGATAGTATTTCTTAAGTCTGTGATTGGATTTTAGAAGAGGATAATACTTAAGACCGTTTATGTTTCTTGGACAGTCTTGAGCTGAAGATGGTTGCCAGAGGGCAAGATTCTTGCAGAAGAATGTCTGCCTGAATACAGTGAAAAGACTGTAGAGCCAGTTGTAGTTGTTGGTATTTTCTGAGTTCTTAATGTGCAGTTACTGGTGTTAAAAGTCAGACATGTGAAAATAGTCTAGCACTACTGCTTTCATGATTGCCTTAAGTTTATATAATTATTGACTATCATCAGAAGGGGTGTTCCCACCCTGTTTTCTGGGGCCTAGTGGATAGATCGTTCTTACGCGTTATGGACATGTTACTGCTGTTTATTTAAAAACCCATGATATTTTGATAGAATTCTGAAAAGGTAATACGCTGCTTGTAAAGATTGCCATAATTTTCCAGCAACTTAAATATTTAGCAAATAATGGATCTCTTTTGGACCTCCATTTCTTTATCAATAAGCTTAGGAAATGCTTTTCCTGTTAATGTGATATTGAAAATATTAATGTATTCATCTTGAAAGTTCTGTCAGATCAACCTCTGCTTGTCTGAAAAACAGTAATTGTGAATGGACCTCCATTTCTTTATCAATAAGCTTAGGAAATGCTTTTCCTGTTAATGTGATATTGAAAATATTAATGTATTCATCTTGAAAGTTCTGTCAGATCAACCTCTGCTTGTCTGAAAAACAGTAATTGTGAATTGAAGTATTCAGTTTGTTTTTTTTTTTTTTCTTCTCAATGTGGATGTCAGAAAGGATTAGGTAACTTAAGGGATAAGAAATGGAATGTATTACTTGTCTTTTACCACTTCGCTTGCTTACTTGAATTCTTTTTGTAGTATTTCAGGTTTGTTGTGTGAAATGAACTAGTGATAAAGATTGAATGAATGTCAATACTGAGCACTGTGACTTCTCCAGGTCAGGCTATAGATGACTGGTAAAGAAGGTTGAGCTGTTTCATCTGCTAGAGCTTTCTAATCTGACAGTTGTCACACCTGCAGCATTCACATTAAACACTTGGTATAATGGACATAACCTGACCCTCCTTGCTGTTCAATTTGATTGTCAATCTTGTGCTAGTTAGGTGCTTGTGAAATTCAGAACTGTCTTGTCCTTGCTCCATTGTAGCATCCTCTATTTTTTCTGCTTATTAAGTGTAGGACTGTACAGGTATGTGTTTGGAAGACTACTGTGCTTAAGAGGTAACAAATGCATTTTAAAATGAAAGCTTTCTTTCTATGTGCTTTTGTCTAAAACTAAGTGGTCTACTAAAGAAAATTTTCTTCTCTTCATTGTCAGCTTAGCAGGCATTCGTTATTTCTTTAGTAACTTGTAAATTCCTGAGGCTTGCAGCAGTATTTAAAAGCTAGTAACTATAGCCAACTAAGAGTATTATTTTTCTGATGTTTGGAAGTAGAAAGGTGGATCTTAAATGTTGGTCTGAGTGTAACAATTAGATAGTATTTCTTAAGTCTGTGATTGGATTTTAGAAGAGGATAATACTTAAGACCGTTTATGTTTCTTGGACAGTCTTGAGCTGAAGATGGTTGCCAGAGGGCAAGATTCTTGCAGAAGAATGTCTGCCTGAATACAGTGAAAAGACTGTAGAGCCAGTTGTAGTTGTTGGTATTTTCTGAGTTCTTAATGTGCAGTTACTGGTGTTAAAAGTCAGACATGTGAAAATAGTCTAGCACTACTGCTTTCATGATTGCCTTAAGTTTATATAATTATTGACTATCATCAGAAGGGGTGTTCCCACCCTGTTTTCTGGGGCCTAGTGGATAGATCGTTCTTACGCGTTATGGACATGTTACTGCTGTTTATTTAAAAACCCATGATATTTTGATAGAATTCTGAAAAGGTAATACGCTGCTTGTAAAGATTGCCATAATTTTCCAGCAACTTAAATATTTAGCAAATAATGGATCTCTTTTGGACCTCCATTTCTTTATCAATAAGCTTAGGAAATGCTTTTCCTGTTAATGTGATATTGAAAATATTAATGTATTCATCTTGAAAGTTCTGTCAGATCAACCTCTGCTTGTCTGAAAAACAGTAATTGTGAATTGAAGTATTCAGTTTGTTTTTTTTTTTTTTCTTCTCACTGATGCACTGTGATTTTGTCCAGTCTCTAGGCTGAGGTAGTAAACTTTAAAAGGGTACTTGGTGTACGTAGATCTCGGTGCATAGATATAAATCTTGATACTTTTGTGCCTTTTTATATTTTATTGACTTTTTATTGAGTCATATCCTCAAATTTCAAAACCAGCTAATATACTTTGTTTTCATTCTGGCTCCAGCTTGTGACACAAGAGTTGTGGATTTTGGTTTATATATTCTGTATTTTAAGGAGCTAGCTTTTTGTAGGGTAAAAAGCTTCGGTCCCTTAAAATTGAATTACAGCTTGAAAGCTCCATGAGACTCGGGTGATCAGCAGCCATAAACTATATAGAATTCATTGTATTTGCTAATATAAAATTTTGTATAAAACTTGCCCCAAACTATAAGTACACTGTTAAAATATTTTTTTAAAAATTCAGGATGCTTTCTGAAGTATGTTGCAAGTTGGTGCTCTTCTGCAAGCTGCTAGGAGTTTTTTGATAAGTGCTATATTAAATGTATTATTTTGTTGGTTTTTTTTTTTTTACTATTTCTGTATTTTATTTTGGAAGTTTTAAATGTTGGAAAACTAGCAAAAATGTTTTTTAATTGTCAGGGTGGAAAGCAATATTAAGACATATTCTTATTTTGTTATGTCAACCAAACTTACTAAAAAGAAAAGTAGGTACTTCCATATTTACAGTGAGCTTTATTTTTATTTTACAGGACAAGATACGACCAATGCAGGTCAAAAGCAGTCTTTCCTTAAAGAGCCAATCCAAGTGAAAGGTAAAGAAATACTTCCTGTATTGAAACTTGACTGCTGTCTCTAGTAGTCAAAAGAGATATGTGTAAGGAGACTATGTTTCCTCTTCAATTGTGTAACAAGTTATGTGAATAACATTTTAAAACACACTTGTATGTCAGCTTTGTTTGGTACCCAGTTGTTTGAAAATGACTCCTGAAAAATCAAATGTAGCAGTATTCCTTCTAATTACTCACTCTTCTGTGTCTGTTTTTAATTGTTTCATTTAAGATGATGAGTTTGTCAGGAAAAGACTAATTTGTTTTCTCATCTGTTACCACAGTCTGTCCTCCTTGCATGTTTTTAGGCATGTCCATTCATCATCTCAGACTTAATGTGGCTAAGCTGAATACTTGATCTTTCCCTGTTCCTTGTTCTAAGTCTTCCTCTGTTCCTTCTTATTGCTGAGTTAATCTAATCAGTGTTGCTTCTAAATATATTTTGACCACATGAACTGCCTAATCTGAGTCCTGTAATGTTCCCATTTGTGCCTGTAGTAAATACATGCTTTGGTCTTTAGTTACATTGTTTAAAAACATAAGTGGATAAAATAAGAGCATAACTTTCTTTCATATTTTTAATTTATCTTGACTTGATTTCACACCATCTTCATTCCAATAGTTTCTATTACGTTATTGTGAGAATTATGCTATTAAAAACTCCTTTGCTTTTGATCATTCCTACCCTTCTATGTATGGAAAGAACTTTATCAAAATAGAAATTGCCATTTCTCTTTAAACTCTGTAAAAAAAAAAAAGGAAATTTCTGGAGTGAAAGTGACTCAGCAGGCTATAAACTGTATCAAAATTCCTTCCTGTCTTTCCCCAAATTTAAAGAAACATCAAATCATAATACTGGCTAGAAACAAGGTGAGATCAGTGTGTCTCTGTGTTTATTTTCTGTACACTCTTGTCTACATCCTTTATGTCAATTTCTCTGGGTCTGTTGTCACTTAGTGTATGCATGCAGGGGGAACATACAGGGTAGATAGGAGAAATTAGGTACACTGTGAAATAATTGTAAAAACAGCTATATCTTTCAGTGAGAAGAGTTTTGCCTCTGTAGATTATAGACACACAAGTAAGAATGTTTATGTTAAAGATTTTGATAGTGTCTAGAAAGTGGAATACTAGTCTTCAGATGCTGCTGTGACTTAGAAACTTATTGATCCAAGTATTACTTGGATTTTTAAAGGATCACTAATGATTTTTTTAAAGGATCACTAATCTTAAAAATTTGTGCTATTTAAAGTGTTTTATTTACATCATCTTTTATTGGGCTTTGTCCTTCTCTTGGAAATACCAAATTGATTTTTTTTTCCCCCTCCACTTTTATTGCCAATTTGATACAGTTATTTGAACTAGGGGTAGGATTGTTGAGACATTCTGCAGTGTACAATTGGTTATAGTATTTTCTTTTAGTGAAATTTACCTGTGTTTCTGAAAGATGGATTAGTAAGTGTTTGATAAATCCACAAGTTATTTTTTACTAAGGCTAATGCACTTTGGATATATATCTGTTTTAAATAAGAAAAGACGGGAAGCATTCTTCTTGTTTAAAAATGTTCATCCTGTTCTAACCTTATTAAATGGTGGACTGTTTTTAGGAAAACTCTAACTTTTTTGTCACCTTCGCTCAGGAGCATCGTGGGGTAAATGTGATTACTCAAGTACTTAAAAAAAATGTTTAAGTTCAAACTGGATTACAGAAATTGGATTTTTATGGTAAATATTGATACTTGTAGTGTTAGTGCATTGTTGAGTGTCAAGCAATATATTTTGCCTTTAAGCTTTCAAAACTCAGAAATAAGACAATGGAGAACTCTGGGGAAAATTTTTCTCAAAGTGTTTAAATGCAGTATCTTTCTGTAAGTATCCTGTGACTTAAAGAGAAGTTCTGGACTAACTATAGAAATCGTATCAATCCTGTGATATGCAGGAAGTTCATGTGTGTTCATAAGTCGTCTTGCCTGCAGAATTTGTTTTCATTTGTATTCTTTAATGTTATGTCCTTCAGCAATTGTAACTCTTCTTCCAATAAGCATAACGTTTTTAATGGAAATGAGTGTACAGTGACTTACATTTGAAAATAAGATGAAGTTATGTACATATAGACAAGCAGGAAATAATGGCATAAATTTAAAATTTCGTTTATCCTTTTTCTGAATACGTGTGGTGGTATTTTCCTTGTGCATGAAAATCTGATGTGATTAGAGTACATCTTCTAGACATACAAAGCATTATAAATAAAGAATGTATTAAAGTATTTTTAATTGTTATAAATGCCCGATACTAAGTGTGCTAATTTTGAAAGTAATAATTGAGAAAAACGATGTATACAGTCTGTCTCAGTTCTCTGTATGGTTTGCAAAGGTCAATCAATTCCACCTTCTGCAGATAAGATTAAGTATTGGGGGAAAAAAAAAAGAAATGCAGCTCTGTGTTGCCATCTCAGTTGCTAGAGCGAGGGTTTCCAAATTGCCGTATTTGAATGCTCTCTTAGTAGCCAAACACCATCTCTGACATCAAAGTTGGAGAAGTAGCTGGCAGTGGCAGTTAAGTGTGTGGGATGTTTGAGAGTCCTGAACTACAACTTAGCAAGTAGCGTTTCTGGAGGTAAATCATTCTACTCTTACTTATTTCCACAATGAAGAACATTCCTTTCTCTTCACTGTAAGTTTTCTATCTCGCTGACAAGCATTGTTTTTCAGATCTCCACTTAGAGGTGTCATGATATGACACTAGATTGAATTATCTTTTGAAGTTTCTGCTGTTGTCTCCGTGAGTGACTTAACTTCCTTGTCTATTTCTGTTTTTAAGTGAAAGCAGTCCTTAAAAAAAGAGAGTATGGACCAAAATACACACAGAATAACTTCATCACTGGAGTCAGAGCAATAAATGAGTTTTGTCTTAAATCCAGGTATGATGGGTTTGAGTTGAAATTTAAATTGTGAATATTTGTTTGTTCGTATGTGCTTCAAAAGTAATAGTGATTGTAGGGTGATTTTGCATAGCAACTTTTTCTAAACACTTTTGCGGTATACATAATCATAAGTGCCTGAAGTTAGTTCTTGTTTACTTAGTGTTACAGTGGATTAGGGACTTGCATTTAGTCTGCATGTTTCCGTAGTTGCTTCTTAAAGTAATTTATTTGTACTTACATGACCATAAATCTAGCTGGGGGCAGAGAGTGGCTAGTTATAGGGGGGAATGGCAAATAACTCTTGTTTCAGCATTTTGCGGTCATGATGGTTTGATGTGAACATCTCTAAAAGATCAGTGGAAACCTCATGTTACGTGAGGTCTGTAATTTGGAATAAAACATAATCTGGTTCATTGTAACTTAACTATTGTTACTTGATTCATATTTACTGCCTTTTACTATGTGCCATGCCTGCCAGCAGGTCTTACTGAGTATCGCTATAGTTGAGGTGTCTGTCAGATTTCATGCATGTTATGTGTGTGACCCATATTAAATCCAAAGACTTAGCAGCTTTGTTTATAACTCTTTATGCTGTCACTGTTCTTCCCCAGTTTTTACATACAGTGTATGTCACGCAACTTGGTCTTTGCTGAAAATCCAGTGGCAAATTATGCTTAGTCCTCTGCCATATTTTTATCATAACTGGCTGCTTGTGCAGAGAAATAACTAGCTAAAGTTTTGCAACAAAGGGGGGGGGGGGGGGCTAAAAATGAAATGTTCTGTTGTATTTTAAAAAAAAAAAAAGTCCCTGATGCTTCTCCATGTAGGCCCTAATGTGACATGTTCTGTTGTATTTTAAAAAAAAAAAAAGTCCCTGATGCTTCTCCATGTAGATGCCCTAATGTGTAGCTCAGCACAGGAAATTTTTCTGTTCCCCCAAGTAGTTTTATCTCCAGCCTTTTGCAGCTTGTGCTGGGTGTGTAGGTTTTGAGGTTAAATTTCTTAACTTTTCATGTCACATGACTTCTGATTTCCATTTAGAGATGTTAAGCCATGAACCCTCTTGTTTAGCACTTGTGCACATTATCAGTTACACGCAGATCATTCATTGGATGTTTTATTATTTGTCTTCCACGTATAGTATTTCATAGTGCGAAGACGTGATTTGGACTTTTGAGCGTGGAAAGCACAGTGGTTTTCAATAGCATTCTAGAGATCGCTTGCTTCATGTTGCATATCTGTTCTGTTTGGCTCAAGTAAACAACTTCAGTTTTTTGTACTGCAAATTAATAATATCAAAATTGTGGAAGATCACTCAGACATAAAAGTAAAATTAGACTAATATGAACTTTTCTATCACTAAGCTGTTTGTCCACTTCCCTTAGTGATTTAGACCAGCTGAGAAAAATTAGACGACGAAGCCCCCATGATGACACTGAGACTTTCACTGTGTACCTGAGATCGGATGTAGAGGCAAAGTAAGAACATTTTTATAAAGGAAAATGTTTGGATCATTTGAAATGGATTATATGAGAGAGAGAGAGAAAGAGAAAAAACTTTTAGAAGTCAGGTTTACAATGTGAAAGGGCAATAATATTTTCCATTTTCTATCTGAACACGTTTTATATCCTCATTATTGTAATAATTATATGGCGTATATAAAATTGGAGGGTATGTTTCACGTGTCCAAGGATTAAGTGCTTGTCCTCAGCCCCCTCTTGCCCAGCTTTTTATTCTGTAAAGTAGTCTGCGTGGCTTCTTATCAGAAAGAAAGATGTGATGTTCTGCTTTTAGGAAAGGCATTTGTAATGTAGTCAAACTGAAAAAAAGTTGCATAAATAGAACCATTGTTAAGTTACTTTTACCCTGTGCAGGTCTCTTGAAGTTTGGGGTAGTCCAGAGGCTCTTGCTAGAGAAAGAAAACGACGTAAAGAGGCAGAGATCAAGTACAGAGAAAGTGAGTACAGAGTTTTCAAATAACTTCAAATGTAAACAACAAAGTATGGTTGTTAGAAATCCACTAGATGGTGTGCTACTTCAGGGAGAACATACGAATTTGGAATTAGCAATTACTGATAAGGTTTTATAGCATAGTGTTAGAGTAACACATTAGTATCTATGCAGATACAATCTGTTACTATCTTAAAATTTATCTGTGATATAACAAGAATATACATTCAGTTGAGATCTATAGTCATGCTTTGTTTTTCGGGGGGCTTTCAATTTTTAGATTATAATTAACAACTTCAGTGGTTTTGGATTTTTTTTTTATTGAGAATTTTGAAAAGACTTAAAACCAATCCAAATCTTGATACCGTACCGTTACTCACTTATTTTTCCTCTGAAATGAATTCAGCTTACTTTTTGCTTCAGAAGGGGGGGAAATGCCCCCAAATCATGTTTTTGCTTAAAATCATTGTCATCCTTGCTGGTATTATCAATAACAGGTACCGTCAAATCAGTAGTTTGTAATGGATTTTGATCTGTCTAGTCAGTTGAAATCACAGGAGAGGCAATATTGCTTCAAGGTACTTATTCCAATTATGCACCTTAAAATTAGAGGTCTCTTCACTTTTTTTTTTTTTTTTTTTTTTTGAAACAGTTGTGCCACTGGAACACCCTCCTAGTAAAAAGGCTAGGGCTGCAGGCACTCGTTAAGGTACCTGTAAGTGTTTATACTGAGCCTGCAGTCATAGCTTCAGAATTTTTAGTGACCGGCAGAATAATTCTTGGACGTAATCCAAAAAATGAGACTGAAAAAATACTACTCAGTCATAATAGCATACTGAAACATTGTATACTTTAAGTGGTAACTCCCTTTTACAGACTGTCCTTGTACTCCACTGGCTGTTTTAATCTATTTAAATTATTGCGCACAATGTATTTTGTATAACTTTGTAAGGGAGAATCTAGCACTACAGCTTCTAGATACTGTAGTATACCAATGTTTATTTTGAAGTTACTAAACATCATTAGTGGATGGAAAAATACTGATGTTGAGACTTGCTTTGAAACGCCCTTATCCCTCTCTTTCGTGGTTAAGGGACGGGAGGGGGGCAGTAGAATGCCTGGATTTGGTGCAGTGTATTTTGAGTTTTTCTTTCTGTGTATCATCCTTTGTTGGTAGAAATGGCAACGATGTATAGGATCATAACAGATTGTATTTGGCATTTTGCGTAAGTATATAACAATATGTGTATCTGATTAACAATACCAGGAGAGGAGTTTTTCACAAAGAAAGACAGACCATGTAGCTCTTACTGGAAGTTGGCTGCTGCATAAAAAAAAAAAAATACTTCAGTTCCTGAAACTACTGGTTACTAGTACGTATTCATGGTAACAATTTTGTATTGCAGATCTATTTAGAAACCAAAGGCTGTTGAGGGAATACAAGGAGTTCTTTGGAAATACTAAGGTAAGAGATGTTTTAAAGTTTTTGGCTAGAAAAATGCCACGAGATGTACGATGACACCTTTTGAAGGAAAAAATTGTGAAACAGTTGCATAAGCTTAACTAACTGAATATTATTGGAAGATTTATTTGCACTGTAATATACCAGATCTATCTCTGATTGTAATGCAGTGGTAAATGTTCTCATGCCAGTTTAAATGGGTTCCTAGTTCCTACTGTGGCAGTGTAACCCACCAGTAAGGCTTTTTTTTTTTTTTTTAAAGTCAATCGCCTTCTTATTAACAAAATTGCAGCTGTATTTGTGATTTCATCTATAGCCTATAAACATGTATAGTAAATATATTATTAATTTAAAGAAATGAAATAGGTTTAGTAAGGAAAAAAACCTAAAACATTAACACTTTGCTCTGTGCCTTACTGGTCCTTCCTCTTTGCTTAAGCAGACCCATTCCCTAGATCCAGGTGCTCTGCTATGGTAGAATGATTTCTTAATCTTTCTGCTGCACAGCTGGCTCCTGTCCTTATGGTTGCAGTGGCCCCTGCTGGAGGCTTTGTTGGTTGTTTATCCTTTTTATAGCCATCCATTTGTGGAAATGTGTAAGACCCAACTGCAGTTTGGGTGAGCATTCAGTGGTAAATTAGCAGGCTTCAAGGACTGTAGCTTCACTTTTGCAATACAGGGCAATGCAAAGTTTTTATTTAATAATTTGTATGGTAGGTCCTTCATGAGGTCAAGATTTGGTTATTTTATTTTAACAATCTCTTATTTCTTTATGTAGCCACGCTCCAGTGCAGCAGCTATGTTTTTCAAGGGACCAGGGAAGGTGGTAATGGTAGCTATTTGCATGTAAGTTTAAAAAAATAAATGTTTTTTTTATGCAAGTATAAACCAATTTATTTTTATTATCCTGGAAATGATAACAGTTTGTATTCAAGCTAAAGGTACCTGTGTCTCTGTAACTGAAGTTAATAGATTTGTTTATTCATTGATGATGGGAGAGAGTTTAGGTAAATACATTCATCAAAATATAGAGATCAGGGATAGAATATATCTCTGATCAGAGAAGAGCAAATTTTTTGAAGTTGATCAGACTAAACAGTTCATTAAAGTAAAAACTAAAATTTTGAAGGACATGGAGAGGCAGGCATTTAAAGTTATCCTTTTTTCTTGCTCCTTCTTGAGAGGAAGATTTTCATACGTTTTAAACAATCTTCCATATAACCAACAGAAAAGAATTCACTTTTCTCTGTTATTCAACTCTTTTCCTCTCTAACTGAAAAGGGGATATTTTAGGACGTTTTTGCCTTTCACATGTCTTACAAGTTTGAATGAATGAAACAAAACTAAACTAACCATCCTGGTTTTAGTCTCTGTGTTCATTTGCTTATCTGGCATGAAATACACAGAAGTGTGTTAAGTTTCTCTCAGGAAATGATGGCTAAAATTTACTTGCCATAAAACCTGTGAATTTTTAAAATAAACTTGATTTTATAAAAGGTATTTGCTAAGACACTATCGATATAAGGGAGCAAAATAGAAACATAGGGAAAATGCTTTTTTGGCACAGGAAACAACATTTTGACCAGGAAATAACTCCTTGAGTTTTCCTACAAAACTATATGCTTTTTGCTTAGGGGGGGAGGGGAGGGAACCACAAAGGTGTTTTGACTAAGAACCTCCCTCTTTATTGAGTATTCTACTAGTAACTCTTCAGAGCTTTCTAAGTTAAAAACATATAAGAACTGCTAGTTGGGAGTGTTCAAAGGGGGGGGGAAGAAAAGGGGGAGCGATGTTGTATGGTCACTTCCACCTCCTTCACTTTCTTAAAATGATCTAGAGAAAACAGACCTTTCCTCCTGCTTTGTAAATAGGTCATTGCTATAAACATTGCACTCTCTTCATAAATACCTTTTGGATGATTAGGTACTTCTATAGAAGAATGCCTGGCAGCCAGGCTAGCAGAAGTTTGTAGAGCCTGTTGTGTTGCTCAGTCATCTTTTTGTGGAGCTTTTTTAGAAGTTAAAGGATCTCGTGGCCCTCAAATACCTGATGACTTTTCAGAGATTTAAGTCAAGGCCACCATCAGTGCCCCTTTCTTTGTGGCCCCTGACATCAGCATGATTTTTAATGGCTTCTGGTTTTGGGTCAAGGAAGGCCAATCTGTCTTAACTTCTCCAGCTGGAATGATTTGGTAGGCTTTTCACAAACTTCAGGCTTCCCCAGTGAGGATGAAACGTGGCTCAATCAAAAGCAGAGTTCTCCTCTACAGATCCATGTGGGAGGGTATAGACCAGCTGCACTGGCACTCTGAAAAACACAGTGTGTTTTTGTTGTGTAAGCCTACATGCTTAATAGAATTCTGTGTGTGAGGAAAAACTTTGAAGCTCTGTTAGAAAAATACAGGAAGGTACTGATTCTTATCAAAAAGGGAATGATCTATTATTAGCAAAACATTCTTCAGAGTCTGGCATTGTTGACGTGATTTCATTGTCATGCTGATGCTTTACCGTTTAAACAATACAAAGTTTGCACAGTATATAGTATTTTTAAAAAATACTAGTGGTCAAGGTTGTTAGTAACGTTACTGCTTCTTTGGAAATAGATGTGATGAAATGTGTTTAGTTCTCAAATCTAGAGCCTAAATAGAAGATTTTTTCCATAGATTCATAATAGATCTGAGTATTTTCAGTTTGATTTTCTTAATTTTGACTTTTTTTTTTTACTGTTCTTTCTTCAAAAGCCTAAATATTTTATGTAGGTAGACAGGGATGGTTGTGTAAATCAGACCAGGTCCTTCTAGACCATTATCTTATGTTGTAAGGTAGAGTATAAAAAGTGGGCAATCACATGATGGTACAATTCCCTATATATAGATTTCTCAATTCCCCGTAATTCCTGTTCCCCATATACATCTTGGGGTTTTGAGGTGGTTATCTTTGAAACACATTTGGAATGATAAATATGTCAAAGCAAGTATTAATGCCCTTTAATTTTTTCAAGTTTACAGTTCAGTGAGGATAGATTTATTTGAATTTGTTTTAATTTTACTTTAAATTGTTACGTTAGGAACCTTGATTTGAATAATTGATTTTGATCTACTTTTGCATTTGTGTATTTTTGTTTTTTTTTTTCTAATGAAAGGCTGATTCTGTTCATGTATTAGTACATTTTAAAGTTAGCAATTAAATTTAGACTTTACACTAAAATTGACAAGACTTCTGACAGCAAGGAAGATGTGTATCTGTTTCAACGCTTCCCCTCCCCCCCCCATTTTGTTGGTGAATGTCTGCCTCCTATGTGGACTTTGGAATAGTTATAAACAGTTGTGTTGAATGAAATTGCTTATTTTGTAGGTGCAGAAGAGAGGCTTATTAGAAAATGCTGTATAGTAGTAGGTCTAATAAGCAAGAGAATTGTACCTAATGAATCATGGTTTTGGGGTTGGGTTTTTTCCCCATTATTTCTTGGCGTCATGTCCAAAACATTACAATAAATCTTTTTCAGACTTTACCCTTAGCTTTGGTTTAAGTTCTGTTAAGATTTCCTAGTCTTTCAGATCCATGCAGATAGAAACGAGGTAGCTAAATCAGTCAGTTCAGTTAATTTCAGCACAATAGAGAAAATACTTTCTGAATTGGTGGTCACTGATGTAAAAGATAACTTTGTTTCAAACTGATTCAGAGTATTTTAGCTGCCTTCTCAGAATCTGCTGGTTTTGGATTATTTTTCTTCTGCTGTTTAAAATCTTTGTAGTATTTCTTCAACAGAATTTAGGCTTTCATAGGGCTTATTATTTTCAAATGCAGTGGTGAATTTGTTTTTTAAAGCAATACATATTTTTCTTGCAGTAAAAACCTGACTTTTTTTTTTTCCCCTCCCAAAACTGACTTTTATCTATTGTCTTACATTGATGTGAACATCTAGTCAGACAGGAAACACCAAATAGCCTTGATGGCTCTGTAGACTTACTAGGTGTTTTTGTAATTATTTCCCGTGTAACATTCATCTTTCTATCCTATGTCTCCAACTTACTGGACATCGTTAACAGATTGATTTTGCTGGGCCTGACATTTGAAAATCTCAGTGTGGTTTCTTTTTAGATTTGTAGGCTGTCAAATCCCCCCACAAATTCGGAATTTGTAGGGGTGAAATAAAATATCAGCTGAGTGCTTATTGTGTCATCTGAACAGGTGGGGGCCTCACAACTGAATTGTACCTTCAGATAAGCTGTCAACTCCATTAATACTACATTGAGAAGAACATTACAAAAGTCAAGAGACTGTGCTCATGAATCCCACTGTAATTTATTTCATTTTCTTTCTATGCTAAAGATGCACTATGCTGTGAGTTGGAAGAACTTGTAATTAACACAGGGAGTTTAAATTATGGTTTAGTGTTAAAACAGCCTTCCTTTCTTCTGGGGTTATCCACTAACTTACGGATTTTTTTACTTCCCACCTATAAATTATGGTGATGCTTCACCATCTCATGAGGTAATGAGACTAAATTAAAAATTGTAAAGCATGTTCAGGTCCTTGGATAGAGGGAGGTATAGAAAACAGTGCTACCTCTTGCTTGAAGAAGTGGATGTAGTTTCACAGAAATTTTTTAAGGATGACCTTGAAAATGAATGTTATTTAAGCAACTATATAATTTGGTGTATGGCAAGGGGCTGGACTTGTGCTTCCTCTAACTTAAATGTAATTTCTTGGCATGTGGTTGTTCAAATGAAATTACGTGTTATAAATAAGTATTAACAACACCTTGTAGTTGCATTTTTGAATACTTTTAAAAATTGCCAATAAGCTAAACTCAGATGTATTAAGAAAGATAGAGGAGAATGTTATAATCCTCTAGTCTGATTTTCTTTGCAATATGATTGTAACAATTAACCTACCGATTCTGATAACGTTTGAAGTGAGAATGTAGACTCGGATTTTAGTGCTAATAGTTACCTTTCTCTGTACACATAACACAATGCTTACTCCAGTGAGCTCGTAACCTAAAAAAGACTTGACAAGTCACGCTGGACATCTTAATGGAAAAGTTCCATAGATAATTTTTACAGTGTGATATAATGACAGCCTTGTCTTCCTGTGTGTTGTCTTACCTTTGTATCCTACTGAGACTTGCCCAAGCCGAGACTGAAGTGGGGAACCTTGCGCTCTAGTATCAGGAGGGGATGTAAAGGAGGCAAAGGATTGAAGAAAGAGAAAAGGAAATCATTAAGGCTTGTGTTCTCCCACTGGTAGGCAATTAGTTGTTCTGAGTAGTGAATGTGATGGTAGTTTTCAGGAAGCGTAACTTATTCACGACTGCTTAGAAGTTAACGATTTTGGAAAAACAAATCGTATATCTATACATATCAAGTTTAGCTGAAAGGGCTTTTTAATAGTAACCATGCAGAAAATGTGTATGCCTTATCTGCCTGTACAGGTCTCTAATGATTAAACTGATACTTGGTTTCACCACTTGCTGGCAGGTGACGCATGATTATACAGCACTTGCGGTTTTGCTGAAAATATTAAAGAGCAAATATTCTGTTGTTCTCTAGCTTATTTCTTCTCTTTGTTTTCAGAAATGGGTTGAATTTTATCTTTAAGCTACTTGCTTGGGTTTACACGGGTTCTGCAAGTATGTTTTCAGAAGCCATACATTCTTTAGCAGACACATGTAACCAGGTCAGTATTTTTTCCATTCTGCTTAAGTTAGCACTTGTAATAATTTTTCAGGAATAAAGACAGATACTTGCAGTGGTTGTATTACACTTGAAAGCAATAATTCAATCTACTAGTATTCCTTGGTTTGCTTATACTGTCTAAATAGTAAACACCAGAGAAGTGAAAACAGTATTTTATTTATAAGGACTAGAGCGCATGGCAAAATACTGTTTTTCTTTACAAAGTTTGCTCATAGATTACATTGGCGTTGTAGAGAAGCCTAGAAATTCCAAGTTTATTAGCCACAACTCTTGTTAAAAATGACTCTGAGATTCTGCTGTGCTCTTCCTGTTCAATACCTGTGGTCATTTTCGTACTGTTTTGTATGGTTTACATGCTTCCTAGAATTAATAGTAATCTAGGAGGAAAAAAGCTAGTACTTAATCTAATGACCATTTAAATAATTTTGAGGCAAAACACTCTTAAAGGTGTTTTTTAAATAAACAGTTTCATCTAGGAGAGGGTGTTTTTGTTTTACTTTATTATTAAATAATTTCTGGTTTCAGTCATTCAGATTACAAAGCCTGCCAAGAGCGTGACAAGCTCTGTGTGCATGCAGTGGGAGGAAGATGAACTCTTTTCTCTGTGTGTGTAGTATACATGTATATTTTTTAGCTTCCCGGAGACAAAAGTGAATCTCGGTTACAAAGTAATGTTAGTGTTATATACAGTTTTTATCAAACTGTAGGCAGATGAAGGCATATTTTGTCAGAATTTCACATTACTTCAGAAATACTGCTAAGCCCAGAGTGCTCTCTGCTGTTCCCCAATCTGAGTGCAAAGCTGTTGTTACTCTGTTGCAAATTTACTTGCCAAAACTAGTGGTTTCAACTAGTGGTTTCTACAAGTTTATCTAGCTGCTCTTTTTATTTTTTTATATTGATGTCAGTAATTTTATGGAGCGTTTATAAGCTAACGGTAAAATAACTGACCTAGTTAGAAGCCTTAAATGCAGAAGGAATCTAGAAAGAGCGACCTGTAATTATAAATAAAATCTATTTGAATGGTGTTTGGACTAGTATTTCTGCTAATATAATACTATTTGTAGTACATCTACATTACTTCAAACCACCTGCCCCAATTACTTCTGTTCTTTTCTGAACTATTGTTTTTTCATAGATTTGATTGCTCAGTACTTCAGTTGCAATTTATTTTCCATATAACTATCAAGATGAAAGTGTACCAAAAAAGGTTAAATGGGTTGTAATATTAGTCAAATATACAAGCATTAGGAAATAAGTCCCAGGCCAGGCTTAATTTTGTTTGTCACAATGCATATGCATGATGTGACCAGCCTTATCTTTAGGAAGTGGTGTCAGACCAAAATCTCAGTAATTTGGGTTACATGCTCATTCCTCTCTGCCTTGCTCCCTGCCCCTCCCGGACAAGAATGTTGTAATAATACGTTAAGATAACTGATACATCTATTAATGTAAGAATGAGACAAGTCAGAATGTAGATTCTTAAGTTTTTTTAGGCATGAGTTGAACGAGAGGAGTTGTAGTAAGCAGAACTATACTCAGCTACTTCATGGATCATAAGTAGGACTTGAAACTAAGATGATGTACAAAGTATACCTCTTTCTTATTTTGGTTAAATGTTAACTTACAATAACTGACAGGAAAAGTATTTCAATAGAATGACAGACTTTGCTTAGTCATCTCTTGGTAGAATAACAATGAGAATTTGAGCATCTTGGTTTCTTTTTCTATTCCTAGACTGCCTTAGCAGCCTCTCACAGCACAAATAGCCACATACCTGGCACACTTACTTTGGTAGGTGGTGTGGCAGACTCAGAGCTGGGCATGTAATATTAGAGTGCAGGGACAAAATCAATGTTGTTTTTTCCACTATTTTCTTTAGTGTGCTTGAGTCATGCATTACGAGACCTTGAAATTTCCCCTTCTCCCAGTGTAGAAAGAATCTTTCTTGTTGCAGTTTTTGATATAGCAAAGCTTTGGAAACAAGAAAAGTACTTAAAGGTGAGTGGCTGAAACCCTTCTGCAGTTCACGCAAGAGGAGTCCTTGGATAGCTTATGACTCTCATAAAATGCAAGTCTTGTGCTCCTCCAAATATGAGGAATGCATGGAACCTTAGAGCAGACTTAATGTCTTAAAAGGCATTTTAACATAGTTTTAGCTACCTTTTTGCTTCAGTTGTACCTTGTATGCTTCTCTGTCCAGAAAGACTGGGTTGAAGACTCACATTTTGTTTGCTGTTTTTCTGTAAATGGTTTTCCACAACCTTTCAGCTGTTCCAGCTATAAAGTGAAGATGGGGTGCTACTAACTCAACTGATAATACTTATCTGCTGCCTGGGGAGGCAGCCTTAAAGTGTGTGATTTTCACTTGGCCAAGTGTGTCAATTTATAGGTGAACCAAGTTTGATAGTGGTATTACCTACCACTTACATGTGGTAGAGCTATTCTGTTTTTTAAATGTGAAAGTTAAATGTTTCACTGAAAATGCAGCGGGGGTTTGCTCAAATATTTGAGTATGTGGTTTTGGGAAAAACACAGGAGAAACCTTGCTGCCTCAAAGCAGCTTGCTGCTGCGAAGACTGAAGTGTCTAAATTTTAATACTTGTTGTTATGTTTCAGTAATTCATAGTCCTAAAACAAAGCACATGCTTTGCAAAATTGAGGTAGGTTTATAACTTACTGCATCAATAGTTTAATATATGCCTAATTAAATATATCCCAAATGGGCCAATTAGGTAGCAAGAGGTTTTTTATTTCTTCCTTCAAAATAATTTTTTTTCTTTAGTTTGGAGAATACAAAGTTCACTACTGAAAGAAGATGCAGTGTAAAATTATCGCTTTAAACGTAGTATGCCATCACCATAGTCTCTGTATAATTTCTCTTTGAGAGGGATTTATTTAAATAGCTTTCTTCCCTGAACAACTTCATTCCTTCACATTGAAGTAGAGCAACAACACTTGTGCTTGCACGTAATGTTCACTTTCGGTTGCAATTCTAAAATAATAAACAACAGCAATTATATATATGTATACACACACACTATATAATTACCTATATATTATATATATAGGTATAATTAACAATTTTTTTGGGGGCGGCAGATTTAGATGACATTTTGAGGATTATATTCCAGCTCTAATACAATATCAGTTACAAAGCGTCTGTGCAGATCAGCAAATTGCATCCGCCTTTATCTTTCAAGTTCAGTTGATACAGAAAATTTCTAGATTTTTTTTAAATTTTTTTTTAACAAGTTTTTTTCCTTTTGTCCTAAATAGGCATTGCTAGCTTTGGGCATCAGTCAGTCTGCAAGGACACCTGACCCTAGTCATCCGTAAGCTTTTTGAGTAAATAATGATTTTGGTAATTATATGTAGGAGTAAGACCAGTTCTTGTTTGTGTGTCACCTTGTTCCTTTTAATCTGCTGTTTTGTATCATTTCTGAAATGCATTGTTTCTGATTTTACAATAGATAAAATAAGAAAAGGGATTTCTTCCAAACTGCAGGCGTTGTAGCTTCAGTGGCTTGATGCATGTTATATTTCATGATTTTTTTTTTTTGGCGGTATGCTTTTTGATGTGTATTATTTTAATTGACATTATTTCTTTAAGTTATTCTGGGCTCTTCTACCTCTTCCAATGGATAGACTTACTTTTGTTTTTAAACTCTGTTCGCGTGAATGACAAGATTTTTTTAAAAATAAAAAATACTGTCCTCTTCCTATTTTTGACAAAGTACTTTTCTGCAAGGCAGCTACTTGTATCATAAAGAGATGTGTTTGACTTAAACTACTCTTTGTGTTTATCTGAGTAATAGGGATATTATTGATAAGTTCTTACAACTTCATGGAAGTTAGGAAGTTATACTCTCCATGATATTTTCTTGGTGTTGACCTCCTTTACACTTCACATGTTTGGGCATGATATTTTCTTGGTGTTGTCCTCCTTTACACTTCACATGTTTGGGCAAGTCATTCATACTGTAAGCACTAGTTCAAAATACGTCTAATTCACAGAATTAGTTAAGCTTTTCTTCATTAAGAAGGTAATTTGAAAAATACTTTAATCTTAAATTTGTATAAATATTCATTGTATCTCCTTCCGTCCTCCTTTACACTTCACATGTTTGGGCAAGTCATTCATACTGTAAGCACTAGTTCAAAATACGTCTAATTCACAGAATTAGTTAAGCTTTTCTTCATTAAGAAGGTAATTTGAAAAATACTTTAATCTTAAATTTGTATAAATATTCATTGTATCTCCTTCCCGTCTCTCATTCCCTTCTTCCGCAGTATAGTCGTTTTTTGTACTATTGGTTTTTAAATGTTGCTAAAGAAATGTACTGTTTGCAGTAGCAGTTAATACCAAAAAAAGGAATAAAGGTACACTTTTAATACTGCTTTAGCTCTTCCCACTGCTCTTAAAAACTGCAGGTGTTGAGTGTCTGCAGTTAGCTGAGCTACTTAAAAGATGTCACAAATTTTATTCTCTTTAAATTAAAATTATAAAATATGTAGACTGGCTGCCTATAAGGCTAGTTTTCATTTAGAAGTAGCATTTCAATAAAACATAAAAGTGACATGAATGTTGGTGTGTTTTTTATTTTACAGTAGTAAAATCCTCAGTCTCTGCACAAGAGCTAATACAGCTGTGTAAATAGCTTGTTTAAAAATGAATTAGAAGAATATCTATGCTTGATGTCCTTGCATGTACTAGATACACTTTTCCAGGTGACTTTTTTTTTTTCCCTTTTATGAGGTTGGATTTAGCAGCTTTGTCTTAAATAGATGCCCAGTCATATGATGATAATTTAAGACAAGTAAAAATTAATGGGAAAAACTTGTTGATATGTTTGCAGAGATACAGAATCTTATTTTCCTAAATCACTTTCTTTCTTTTCATCTAGGTATGGTTTCACAAACATGCGCTATATTGCCTCCCTGATTAGCGGGGTGGGCATTTTCATGATGGGTGCAGGACTTTCTTGGTATCATGGGATCATAGGTTTACTCCACCCTCATCCTATAGAATCTCTTCTCTGGGTAAGCTAATCTTGTTTGATATTGTATCTAACACTGTGCCAAAGTAATGGCACAGTCTGAAATTCACTTCCTGAGTTGGTTTGAATCCCAACACAGTTAACTCTAACCATACTAAATGAGAATGTGTTTTAAGAAAAAAATCGTGTCAAACTACAGCTGATCTTACAGCAAAATGAACTGTTCTTTAAACCCTGCATCTTCCCTTCACACCTCCCAAGAGGTTCTCCTTTCCTATTTTGCAGTATATTGCATAATTAAAATATTGTTGGTTGCCTTCTGTTTAGGGACAGCTACCCAGCACAGTGGGTAATGAGGTTCTGGAATGTTGTGTTTGGATAGTCGAATGGTGAAGAGATCTGTACAAATACGCATATAACATAATAATCGAGACCTTTTTTTCATACAGGCATACTGCATTTTAGCAGGGTCACTGGTATCTGAAGGAGGTACGTAGTTTCAAGAAATATTTCTATTTAAATATTTGTAATCTCTGAGTACAATGTGAGTAATTGCAGTAATAATTGGTCCTTGCTTGCACAGTAAAGTTTTGAGCTCTGTTGCAAATACTTGTGTTGTAAACAAACAAAAAAAAAAGAAAAAAGTTTTCCCACTTATCTGTCTATACAATAAGAAGTTGAAGAACACATCATTCGGAAAGTATGCATAGAATGCCTTTTTGGTATTAAACTATCAGTGCATATAACTTCTGATTTGTATGGGAGACATGCATGTAGAAAAAGAAGGTAACTTTATGCTTTGTCATTATTCAGAGTATCAATAACCAGAGCTTTCTTGATGATCTGTTGCTATGATATAACAAAAAGTTCCCTCTTTTCAAAATGGAAACAAGTATTTTTGCCTCTAACCATTTTCAGCAACTACTTTGGTATTGTTTCAGCTACCCTTCTTGTTGCTATAAATGAAATTCGCAGGAGTGCTCGAGCCAAGGGTCTGTCATTTTATCAATATGGTATGTGTCGTTATAGCAATAAGGTATGTGGTTATTTAAAACAGAATCTATTTACCAGTATTTGCATAATGATAGAAACAATTTTGTCTGTTTTCCCTTTCCCCTTGCTTTATTGATCTGTTTTCTATTCTAGTAACAAATACATTTTACACATTAGGTGAAAACCTATTGATTTAAGTAACACTACTTAGATACTTTTACTAAACTACTTGCATTTTTCAGAATAAATGCCCCTTTAAATTTTTCAGACATTTTGGAGAAGCTTCCATAATTGGCACAGGGCTTGTTTTGTGTATTTATGAATGCTTTCAGAAGTGTGTGTGTATGCAAAAATTGAGTTTATGCCTAAATACTTAGGAAATTTTTCTCTTAAGTTGCTGGTGTTAGTATAGTTTTTTAAGTACTGTGCATAATGTAGTAAAGCTAAGCTTTCCAAAGCAGTGTAATTTTTTTTTTGTTGTATACGTAGTCGTGCAGAGTCGTGATCCTAGTACAAATGTGGTGTTACTGGAGGATGCCGCAGCAGTTCTGAGTGTGGCCGTAGCTGCTACCTGTATGGGTCTGACTTCTTTAACAGGTAAAATTCTGCCTCAAACTGAGGCAGACAGGATGTGAATTTCTTCCTGTGCATGATATGAACACAGAGCATTTAATTTATATTGGTTGACTTAAATACATCTCTACTCTTTTTCTGATACTTGTACTGTGTAGGCTTCTGGAGGTTTATACTGTTCTCTGATCTGATTTCTAGTAGTTTGAGTTGAAAATATTTAAAATTAAAAAAAAAGTTGTTTTTTTTTTTATGTCTATTATTGGTTGGGTTAAGCTTGGAAGAGTACATGCAGGTGGGTCTAACTTCCTTTTGAGCTATTTTGTCATAGAATCATAGAATCATTAAGGTTGGAAGAGACCTCTAAGATCATCGAGTCCAACCGTCAGCCCAACACCACCATGCCCACTAAACCATGTCCCTAAGCGCCTCATCTACACGTCTTTTAAATACCTCCAGGGATGGGGACTCAACCACTTCCCTGGGCAGCCTGTTCCAATGTTTAACCACTCTCTCAGTAAAGAAATTTTTCCTCATGTCGTACAAACGAAGGTATTTTTTACTGAAGGTGTATTTATTGTAGTCAGCTATGTAAATCACTTTGTGCCATGGTGGGATTACATAATTCAGTGGTGTGCAGCTCCATGTGCATGTGGGGAGGATTTAAGGATGCAGTTCTTTCCTTCCTTTTGATGGTAGTGGTATTAGTGTTATCTTCAGATTACAATAGCTGCTCCTGAACAGTGTGGCAAACCTAACCCACGCAGGTAGGATAATCTATATGGCAACTGATTCAAAATCTGTCTTTGCACAGTTAGGTTTTCTAAAGAGGGAAGATTATTTATTTGTCCCTTTTTAAGTATTGGCTTTGGCTTTTCAATTGTTTAAAAAAATAAATATGGTAATTTTGTTTCTTTGTGGCTTCTAATGAGTTAATTGCAAGTTTCATTTTGTTATATAGAAGTCAGTTTTTTATTCCATCTCTAGTTTCTTTCATAAACTTAAAAATACATTACTGTTTCTACAAATCTGAATATGAATGAATACGCATTTAAAACTTATATAATAAGTACTGTATTCCAGGAATGGTTAATACTTGCAAGTTTTTGAGTTACTGATAAAAGAACAGACTTTTGTGCTACTACCTGTGTTTAGGTGTATATAATTTTATATTAATAAAGGTAAATCTATACACAGAGACCCAAATAGCTGACGAGTTTAGTCATTTATTAGTCCTGCAGGAGACAGGAGTGGCTGGGGGACAGGAGGGACTTGAGACTTTATCTTAAGATAACTTGTTTTCTTCCAGCTTCATCTTGTTCCTCAGTAGGAAAGAATTGCCAGTGCATTAAAAAACCCCCAAAAACCCAAAACCAAACAAAAAAAATCCCACCAAAGGCAAAAACTAAAAAATCCAAAAAAACCCCCGAAAACTATGTAGTCTTTTCAGTGTGAAATCTGAATTATCTGCTGTGTTTTAGAAATGCTCTGTGAAACTAATTTGGCATGTCTTGTTTAGGAAACCCTTATTATGACAGCGTGGGGTCTCTAGGTGTTGGAACTTTGTTAGGAACTGTGTCAGCATTTCTAATCTACACTAACACTGAAGCCCTGCTGGGACGATCCATTCAACCTGAACAATTGCAGCGACTCACCGAGTTACTGGAAAGTGATCCTGTAGTAAGGTAAGAATCTTTACAGCTCAATCTCTATGAAGAACAATAAAAAGCAAGAAAATAGCATTTGGAAAAAAATAGTTCAGGCACTTTAAATGAGAGAAGTCCATTGAGATTGATTATTTTTAGGATGGATTCTTCTGTATTGAGATTTTAGAATCTTAATTATTACTAACTTCTATTTCTGTGTTAAAAATTTCAATAAGTGAATACTTGTACCTCTCAGATGTTCCACAGCTGAAATAAAATTGCAAATATGTTCTAACAGTTATATTAATTGCAGGAGTTGACAATAACTTAATGAGAAAGCCATCACAAACTTAAAACTATTTTCAAATGCATGAAATGCAAGCACTTAAATGATACTGTAATGTTGCTTTTATAGTTTATTAGCGCTTAACTATTTAAACTGTTACTGTTAATATTCAGTGTCTGGAATTCTGTAGCAGTTGGCAGTGAAGTGCTGCAGTAGTATTATGGTGTAATAGATTCTGCATATTAGATGCTTACAGAATGAATTAAATGCTAATTTCTCTTTCTTTGGAAATCTGCAATTTGTAGTGAAATAAACTTAGAGCTCATGTGATTCTGAGATCTTGTTTAAATGCTTTTTTAAGGAGCTATTTTAGCTTACTTTAACCCTATTAACCTTGATTTAGAAGCAAACCCCTTTTTGTTTTCTTCTTAATCTTTATTCAGTAATATATTTCTGTGTGAATCAGCTGGAATATTTTAGTGCTTTTTTTAATTTGTAGTCATTACTGAGCTCTGAAGGGAAAAAACCCAAGCCCGTTAGTTAACACCAGAATACTTGAAAGAAACTAAGTGCTGCATCATCTCAGTTGCAAGCAACAGGTCTGAACGACATGCCCTTCATTCCAAAAGCTAAACAAGATTCCTATTTTAGAATAGACTTGTGTTAGAATTTTCACATGTCAGTAACTAAACTCTGTTAAGCATTTGTGGTGGCCCTGGATTAGTCTGAATGGTGGAGCTATGTGAACAGTGCTGTGTTCAGCACTGTTCACAGTAGGTGAGACCACATGGCTATTTGTACATGACTTCTGTAGTTCTTTTTTCCAAAGTGCACAGGTGGCTTTTGCTTGTCTCAGGCTGGAATCATAAAATTTCTCCTATCCCAAGCACCAGTTTATATTACATTCCATTTTGTAGATGGCTATAACTTCTCAACAGAGCAGACTTAGTTCATCTCCTTCTTGCTGTAGACTTCTTTTTAAAACAAGAAGTAACTTAATTTTAAAAAAAGCACGAAGAATAAAAAAAAGTGAAGACTTGGTAAGAAAATGCATGTTTCTCTTAAGGTTAGAAGGTGAAACACGTTTAGGTACTTGTCATAACACTGTTTGCAGGACCTTCTGTATGCACTTTGTCTTGAGTGATCTCTTTCTTAGATCTTACGTTATCCCCTTTGATTTCTTTTAGCACACACTTTGTCTTTGACCAAGTTCTTCTTGTAACAAGCCTAATATCTTGAGCTTGGTTAACTTACATCTTCTAATAAGACACCTGGTCTTGATCTCAGAATTCTTTAAGATGTAAATGTATATTACCCTTGCTTGTAACTAGGCATAATTTGGGGAAAAAGCTACTCTTAATTTTTTTTCTTATTCCAACTAACTTTGGTTAGTTAGCTAGGTTTTTTGGTTTGTTTGTTTTAAACTTTTTCTTGTGAAATGAGGAAGTCTTTTAGCACCAAGTATTTCTTCAAAAGGCTACTAGTACATTTTCATCAACATAGCTTTGGGCTTGTAAGAGTTTCAGCATTTTCTTGAACGTTCAAACTCTCCCATTTTCTTAAATGGAGTTGTGTAGTAGTATGTCCTACTCTTACATTTTTCCTGCTGACACCAAATGTAAAAGAAAAAGCTCTTGAGTACTGGTCTGCTTCTAAAGCTGTGACTAATATTTGCTCTTTTTATTTCAACTTTTCAGGGTTTTCAGCTATCAAACTGTATCTGAGTTCTCAATGCAATCCCTTCCGCAAGTGCGGCTTCCCAGGACAGTCCTCCCTTGTCCTTTCAGGGAGGGTTTGCAATCTTTATTTTCAGATGCGTTCTGCCAAATATGAAGGGGATATATTAGGGAATCATTTAGTATTCATCAGAAGGTATTTTAGATCCAAATTGACCAAAGGATCCAAAGGCTCTGATCTCCGCTCCCCCCTGCCCCCATCAGCACCACCACCACTTAACTTACTATTCCAGCAGTAGCTTGCCTGAACATCGTGTTCCGCTGCTAATTATAAAGTATTTGATTTATCAGACAATACTGACTGCTGTACTACTAAAATAAATGATCTCTGCTGTTGATCTTTTTTTCAGCTAAATCTTGATTTTTTTAATTTTTTTTTTTTAAATAGGGTTGTTTGACAAGACATACATTCCCTAAAACCTTAATGACTGGAATTAATGCTCTTGATATATAATTTTTTTCTCCACCTTTTATGCTATTTTTCCTTGGGTTGTCAGGTGAAGTTGTCTTTAGTTAAATGGATTGCCTCATTTGCTGTTCTTAAATTTTGGCACAGTGTTGTTAATCTACTCGTGTTTTTTTTTTTAATTCTCAGCAGTATTGCAGGATGAAAAATTAATTGGTCTTCACAGTTGTTCTTAGTTCTTTTTACTCTTGAATGCAAGTTATGGAGCCTGCTGAATTAGAAGCATTGTTTCCCTTTAAATATCCAGTATGCTTCTCCGCTACTAATAGGGAAATGCTTTGTTGTACTAGTATATTGTTTTGCTTTTTTAGATCAAGAAAACAATGATTAGTGCATGTTTCTGTGTATTCTGTGTCATCAGTAACGATTTTACCATTGCCATCTAGTAGCAGACTTGTTTCCAGGTTATCCTTTGGTTTTGCAATACTTAAAAAATGTTGGTTTGTATCACGCACAATGCCTTTTTTTATGCTTCTCCTATCAGTTTGCTGGACTTCATAATTAATCTTTTAGGCTCGTGGCTATTTATTTCTCCTTTCTTCTCATTTTGCTTGGTAATTTCTAGTTGTAGCCCTTATTTCATTTGTGATCCAGAATGGGTGTTCAGTCAGAGTTGTTCTCAGCTGGAAAATTATTTGATTTTATTTTTTGCTATGCAAACATTCTATTCTTAACTCTCATTCACACCTTTGGGGCCTAAATCTTTCTTGTGTTCAGCTTAACCGAAGTGTAGGAGATTAGGCTTTCAGAACTGTGAAACAAAATATATGATGTGGTACAGACTGTCCTGATTCTGTTCTTATGGAATGTAATCATGGATCCCTAGGCATAAACTATTCTCAGTGACAGTTTAATTTTTACTTCATTGTAACAGTTATTGGGTAATTGTGCTACTGTTGTGCTGGAAAATCTGTCGTTCTGGTTTGGAGGGGGAAAAAAAATGTATTACAACTGATGGCTCAAAACCAATAACTTGACGTCCTCTGACAAATTTTTCTTTAATGTGAAACTTGCTCTTTTCCTTAGTTTGAATTGATGGTGTCTGCTAGCCATCCAGAAGCTTCCATAAGCAAGCTTTGTAGCTTAAGTCTTAGCATACACATTTGTATTTTTGAATTATTAGTGATTTTTCTCCTCCTGACTCACTGTCTTATCTTTCCTGGACAGATTATAAGCAGTAAGGTAGACTTTTTTCTTCACACTTACAGAATATGCATCATTCCACTGAATTTTATCAAGTTACTGCTTAATGAGAATCTCAAAAATCTCTTGTTATCTTCTTGCTTAGCTCTGATAGGCACTTGATATCGTCAACATTTTTGAATCGCATGGATTCAAATTCTTTTCAATAACCCTCATTGAACCACATCCGTTATCTTAAATACCCTCTTGTGTGAGGAGGTAGTTTGATGCCGGTTAGGTTACTCCAGTTAATACTGTTTTGATTTGGTAGCTTCCCACAGAATAGCTGTGTAAATTTGATTGGAGCTGGAAATTCATTATTGCTACCAGTAAGCTGATAGTTCTTTTAATCTGCTTAAATGTTTGCTAAGATGTATTTTTTGGTGTGTCTATATTTAGTTCATGTTCTATTTCTTTTTTAATGTGTTTACCCCTCTTCCACCCCAAGCATTACAAGAAATATTCCATAAAAGTTTCCTGTGATTGTTCATCTTAAATTTCTGCCTCCTGTTCTTTGTCGGCTGTTTGCTCTAGCAGGCTACTTCCGAAATATATGCCTTCTGCTTTCTTCCTGCACCATCTGTGAAGTTAGTTCTGATTTATAAACGTTCAGATGAGAAGAAACATTTCTAGTTGGGAAGAGTAAATTTGCTTAAGACAAAGGGCATGCTAAATTTAAAGATGCTGTGAGATTGCACAACTTAGTAAAGTGAATGGGGGAAAAAAGTTTAGTACTTTCCATCGAGTGAGCTTTATTGCTGAATCTAAATTTTGTGTTAGAATTTAAAAAAATTGTCAAGATTGCATTTTTCTTTTAATAAAATGAGTCTCTGGAATATTTTATAGTTGACCTCAAATACTTGTTTTGCTTTGGAAATGTCAGAACAAAGAATTTCAAAAATTTGAAACTTCTTTGTGATTTATGTCCCATATTTTAGTCTCCACTTTTTTTCTGGCCTTGATGGAAAAATGTGGAAACTTACTCTGCAGTGGCAATTTTAAATTCTACTTGGCTTTAAAGATAAACTAAGTTTGTGTTAATCTAATTAGAAAAAAACTAGAGTATTTTATTTTATATTTGTTCCACCGTTGAAATGTACCACAATATGTCTGGGTCCTGAGTTTGCTTCGTATCTTCTTGTCCCTGAAAAATAGAGGGCTTTTTGTTTATTGCCTATATTCACACATCATGAAATTTCTCAAACAAACTGGAACAAAACTATGCTATAGAAAAACAGAAGTTTTCAAAGGACCAAAATATAAACATGTTGCAACATTCAGGAACCTTTAAATAAATACACATTTTCAGCATTTACAAACAGCTGTCTTGTGATTAGTTGTGATCAATGATTCAGTATGATCAAAAATGAGTTCCAAACACAATATCCATAACTTTTTCTTATATCAAATGTAACTTTGACTAGAAAATTCTCCAAAAGGTCATGCCTTTACAAACTGTAGTTGTCTTAGGAAAGGATACTTCTATAATTGCAATGTGTGGTTTTGGTAATTGACAATAGATTGTTGTTCCTTACCTCAGAACTGAGGGTACTTAAAGATTGTTAAACAGTGTCATGTATATGCATACGCACAAAAATTTGTGCAGTAGCAAGTAAGTTGAACTTAAAAGTTTAACTCAGAATAGGGAAGTTCTCACTTTCTGTTGTGGGATGGGGTGGGGTTTTTTTATACTATTAGTCTAGTTCTAAATCTGTGATGCTGCTTGTAGTCTATCTTTTATTGCAGCGAGCCATTTATAGATGTGTTGGTGTAGCAGATACCTGTGGAAGTTGTATAACCGGTTAAATATAAATCGGTGTTTAATGGAAGTGTGTGGTGGCAAAATGAGGGTATGTTAGTCAAAAGCAGTGGCCTTTTAAAATTACAGGATCATTTTACTGTGATATTGTTAACATCAGAAGCCAAGCTAGCTAGTTGTTTGTTTTATGTTTGTCCTGGTTTCAGCTGGGATAGAGTTAATTTTCTTCCTAGTAGCTGGTACAGTGCTGTGTTTTGGATTTAGCATGAGAATAATGTTGATAACACCGATTGTTTTAGTTGCTGCTAAGCAGTGTTTATACTAAGTCAAGGACTTTTCAGCTTCCCATACTCTGCCAGTGAGGAGGTACAGAAGAAGCTGGGAGGGAATATAGCTGGGACAGCTGACCCACACTGGCCAAAGGGACATTCCATACCATATGATGTCATGCTCTTCCCTGTCTGTGCCCCCCCCCCCCTCGCCCCCCGTTGTTTTACTTTCCATTACCAATTATTATTATTAATTATTATTATTCTATTATTTCAAGTATTAAACTGTTCTTACCTCAACCCACAAGTTTTCTTACTTTTGCTCTTCCAATTCTCTCCCCCATCCCACCGGGGGTGGGGGAGAGTGAGCGAGCGGCTGCGTGGTGCTTAGTTGCCGACTGGGGTTAAACCACGACAATGTTGTTCTACATTTTCTTTAAAAATTATGTGTTTCAGAGCAATTCATGATGTTAAAGCCACAGACATGGGAATGAGCAAAGTGAGATTCAAGGCAGAAGTAGACTTTGATGGACGGGTTGTTACTCGTTCTTACCTGGAAAAACAAGACATTGAACAGCTGCTACAAGTATGTTTAAAAAAAATTATTTTGTAACTTCCAGTATTTGATATTTACTTTCCAATTTCAAGTATGTCTAAAACCAAGATTTTCAAGTAGGTGAGATAATTCCACTTCTTCATTTTGAAGGATTGCAGATGTTTTTACTTTGTGTTAGTGTGTTAAATATCTGTACACAGAATCATATTATGTGCTGCTGAAATAGAGCTACTTCGGGGCTGAGTAGGGCCTGGGTAGGAGGAGGGCAGATTTTTTTTTTTTATTCAATTTTTTGTTAGAAAATACAGATTTGTCCAAAATAATTTTGATGAGAACATAATTCTTCCAATAAATTTTTATTGAATTACAAGATCTCTAGTTAAAACTGGAAGCCTGTCACCTGAGAATAAGCATCTGTTTTGGCAGAGCCATTCGCCTTGGGTGCTGAAGATGCAGTGTTACAGTTTACAGATCCTGCCATTCAGACTAGGCTTGAATATGGATTGCTTGCATCACATGACTTAGCATTTTGACAGCGTTTAACAATTAACCACCCTTAAGTAAGTGTCTGTCTCTGATTTTAGTGTCGTTCAGAGTAGGTTTTTTTAATCCCTCTCTTCAGTACAGAAATGCAAAACTGCTTTCATCTGGCTTCTACATGGCAAAGCTATGAAGTATGAAATAAAGACTAATTTATCTAAATTACAAGGACAGTTTTAAGTGGGCAAAATGTTTTGCTTGCTTACCCGTTTTCACCAGTAACTTGCTTATACACATTTGCTTGTTTACCTACAAGATTTCTTTCTTTGCTACCCTCTCAAAATGAAAAGTAGATGTCAGGTGTCTGCATTTTATGTCTGTCTGTTAAACATGACTTAGAAGTTATCTGAGTTTACATTTAAATTACTGCAATAAGTGATCTGTTCATGTATTAGATTTCAATTTAATACATTTCTGAGAGGAAGAGTGCTGTGAGCTTTGTACAACTGAGGCACTGCAGGTTTGCTTGGTTTTATATTGCCAAGTCTCAGTTGCTTTGCTGTTGCAGCTGTTTAGTATGCTACTTTTCTTTTCAAAGGCTTTGTTAGCTTTTGTCCTTTACCCACTATTCCCTTTGGCGATTGCATACAACCTTCACGGGTTCTTCTAACTAGTATTGTTGGGAAAATTTTTCCTGATTGTTTCTGCATTGGCAACTGTTTCTTACACAGGTCATTGTAGTTTCATGTAGTTTCAACCATTGTTGAAGGATAGGTGCTTTCAGCAGGACTCGGCCACCCAAAGTCAAGGGCAGACATAGTTCTTGCCTTTTGATCTGTAGTTTTTCAAATAAGTAGCTCATTCAACCAGCATTGCTATCAACGTTACTCTTTCTAAAGTTGTGAAATGTTTGTTGAAATGCTGTCATTCAGATTAATCTCAGGTTTTTTTCTTGTTAGACTTGCTGTGATTGTAGTCATAGGTTATTGTGGTTGGGATATCTTTTAAGCTCAGTCAATTACATTATTCCTCTTCAGTTTTAGAGTAGTGGCAGGGGGGGACGGGGAGAAATGGATGTTGTGTTGTAATTGTATGCACAAGAAGAATTAGCTATTTAATAATTACTCTGTTAGCAATAACCTATTTGTCCTAAACGTACTGCAGCTGTATCGCCTAAACTGTGGCTGAGATACTACAAGGCAAATGGCTTCTGGCCAACTTGGTGTGAGACCTCTAAAGAATAGCTCATGATAATGCTGCCATACCTGCTTTGGTGCTTCTGATGTCTGTGGTTTTTTGGAGGGAGGAGCATAGCATCCTGTCTTCCTTAACCTCATTCCTTCAGTCTCGTATGCTACGGGTCTCCTAGTCTGAGTTCCTGTCAACTATCTTCGAGTTTTTTGATGTTATGGAGGAGCCGTATTTATAGCAGCATTCACAGTAATCCTTGTGGATTTTCAGATGAGTTGGTAATGTGATGCACAGAGTAAGCAGTGTAATGGAATAGCAAGAATGTGTGAAAATGAGGAAAGAATACACAGGGGTACCCTGCTCTGCCTTGCTGTGAGCAAGGGATACCCCAGAAACTTCTAGAAAATGAATTAAATTCTCTAAACTTATTTGGAAAATAAAGGAGGAAATCCATTAAAGATAGAAGAAGGTTTTATATCAAGTGCAGGTGTAATTGTAAGCCAGCTGTTTTCATTGAATAGATGCTACTCTTCTGTGTCTTTGAGACGTAAGAACAGATGATGTTTTGAAAGGAAATGGCAAAACCTGAAAAGTGTTTGGTTCCCCCCGCCCCACCTTGAAATATGTGAGGACCTTCTGTAGTGTTATTCCTTTCTTTTCTTTCCCTCATCTCAACCTCTTAAATTTGATTTCTTCCTAGGAAATTCAACAAGTGAAAACCCTTGAAGAATTAGAAGCCTTCATGCTTAAGCATGGTGAGAATATCATTGACACACTGGGAGCTGAAGTAGACAGACTTGAGAAGGACCTAAAGGTACAATTTAGCTGCTTATTAGGGAGTGCTTCTTCTGTGATGTATTTCAAACAATATCACTGCATCTACTTTTTGGGATTTTGTTTGTAAATATGAGAGAGGGGAAGAAGTTGATAATCCTAATGCAAATTTTCTTGCTATAGGTATCATTAACCAAGTTCTGACCAGCAGCAAACCCTTACTTTGCCATTGATCCGTTTGTTATGTATTTGGTTCAATTTTATACCACTGTAGAACAGTGTTTTCGTGAAATGAGACCTGATTGTGTCTTTGTTACTGTATTCTCAGAATGTCAGGTTATTTACAGGCTGCTGAATTCTGTTTTGGTTGTAAAGAAGCAAATTTTAATTTATTTATTTATTTTTTTTTAAATCTGGTACTTAGCATTGTATCAAATATATCAGTGTGTGATGAGGGCTTTACTCAACATTTTTTGCTCTTGTTGAAGCAGTACAGTGTTTACTTCTTTATAAGCCTGTGAACTTTCTTCTTCTTATTTTTTTTTTTTTCTGCGATTTAAATATCCTTTGGTTGATGCAACAAAGAATTGTTTCCATTTTTAATTTTATAATTATATTGTGGCTGTTAATCTTACCTTTTCTGGCATGAATACAGAACTATAAGTATACTGACTGCCAGACAAATACAGTCTGTCATGACTGCCTTTTCCGGTCATCAGGAGACACTGCTCAAGAGCATGTCTGTCCTTGCTTATTATATTTGATGAATATTCTAGTTTTAGTTTCTCTCCCTAGAGTGGTGCTGTTTAAGAATCAAAATATTATTTTTTAGTTTAATTGCACCAGCAGATCCAGTTCTTCATGGTTTTTGAGGAGTAGGATCATGACTAATTATTTTATAAACGTGAATATTGTTTTTTGGTATAGGCAGGGATTTCAGTGATTGTGTTGCTGTTGAATATGCTTTACTAAATATGCTAGTCAGATTCACATGCTGGATGACTTTGAAGTCGGTGGCGTTCAGTAAACCTCTCATGGATTATACAATCCATGTAATGATGATAACATATTTTTACAGTATCAGAAAATGCATATTTCTTAATAGAAACAGTATTTTGAATCTTTATAAATAGCTTCAATGGCATAGAATGAATTATTTTAGCAATCTTATCCGTTATTCAGGAAAGTATCTGTTAAAACTTTCTTAAAGTGAGAGAGAGAGAGAAAAGATGGCTATTTGGACAGTTTTATATAAAAGCTAACTGCCTTTTTAAAATCAAGAGAGCTGCTTCATACTTTATAAAGCATAAGAACTAATTTATCTGTGATGTGGAAAAGTATTTGTCAAATAAAAAGATGACTTAGCCTTCAAAAAATTGCTTATACTATGGGCAATGTTTGTTGAAGCTATTCCTCATTTTAAAATAGTCCCTATGTTACCAGAAAAGGGGATTTGTTATCTAGTTGCCAACATCATACCAGAATTATATTATTTGTATCCATGTGCAAAAATGTGTTTGAATATTTTCAATAAAAATGTGTTTGTTTTTTTTTTTTAAATTTTATTTCAGCAACGAAATCCTGATGTTCGTCATGTGGATTTGGAGATACTATAGACTTGGCAGAAGAAATGTTCAGGTTGCTACCATTTTGGAAAGAAGTCATGTGAAGGGCTGAAAAGCTTCTGAAATTGCAGTGACCTCAGCACCATACCTCGCTTACTTTTGCTGTAGGCTTCCTGGACTGTTAGCACTGCTTCTGTTTCTGGAAGAGCGCTAGACTCGCAGACAAAAATTTCCATGGCAAAATCAATTTAAAAAAAGCTACTTGACTTAAATTCCACAGGAGAGTCTGTTAAAGTATATTTACTGCAATTCAGAGCTTAAGACTTGAGGTTTAGTTAGGCAAATATAGCTGCCTGAAAATATACAACACACTTAGTTTTTTCCCTTTGTGTCCCTTTGCAGTCAGTTTGCACTTCTTTAGTTTCTTTCAAGATACATTAAAGGTTCTTGGGAGATACTAAGATTAGCTAGGAAGAGTTTGTTCCAGTGGAACCTGCCAACCTTAAACTAATATTTCAACTGTGTGATTCTTTCACAGTTTTTCTTTTCTATGAGATAAATTCTTTCAAACAGGCGCTGGCCTCCTCTCAAGTACCATGACCTGGAAACCTGCTTTTTGCCACCGTTGCGATCACCAACCGCGCTTCAGAAGAATAAGGTTTTTCTCCTCAGTGGAGTCAGCTGTATGTGGTTAGCCAGAGTATGTTAAGTTACTGTGAAGAAATTACTGTGTAGAGATTTCGGTGAACTTCCTCTGTTTAAATTTTGTTCTTTTTTTTATCCCTACTTTGACACTTGTTCTCTTATTTGTAAGTATCTTCAGATGTAATCTGGGAGATATTTATGGTAGTGCTTATTAAAAGTTACCTGGCATTTTTGGCTTTTTATAATTTTAATAGGCTGTGTTGCCAGATATGGTCTTTGCTAGAAAGTGTAAGAGATGTAGTTGGAAGTTAGAATAGTAAAAAATGTATTAGAACTATTTATAATTAAACAAATGAATACATTGTGTTTTTAATTTATTTACCTCTAGACAGTATCTCTTACCTGAATTCTAAACTGCTTGCTTTGTGTTTTTTAAGAACAGACCTTGCTTGTTTGGGAAAGTAAAGTAATTCCATCAGTGGTCCTCAACAATCCTGAGATAAGCGTTTAGAGTTTATAACTTTGAGATGTGCAATTCTAGCACTGTATATAATCAGCCTCAAGGCTTTCTGCAATAGGCACCCAAGTTGTACCAGATTCTTTGAGACCCAGTCTTTATTAATAAGTACTGATCATGCAAGTTGAAATATAAGTGAAATAACTGCATAGAAATAACTCTGAGGAAAATCCTTTTTGCACTTTAACGTATTTCAGTAAAATGAGAATTCCTCATGGGTGAGGGGTGGTAATAAGACCCTTGTAGTGACTCAGTTGCTGGGTTAATGACTGACTTGCTGAAAGAAGAAATGTTGATATGAAACACAAGTCTTCAAAAATCAATTTAAGATTAAATTATAAGCATTGCAGCAAATAATAATTGTGGAGACCAATATGTCCAGATTTGACTAAAAGCTTTTTAGAATGTTCTTTTTCATACTAAGTGTCACTTACCAGTGAATTATGAGCATTTAAAATAGCATGCCTTTTGACAACTGCAAAGCACTTTGCAATGCTGGTCATTTTACGTAGAAAAACATTCCAGAGCTTAGTTACAGACGGGACTTCACATACAGTAATTGTGGGTGAAGGGGTCTCTTTAGTACCCTTGTCCATAATCCCTATTCACCGGTGGCTTCTTGATAGCATATTAGCTTATTATGGCTCATCCAAAAGAAGGCTTATTTTATCTGGTTTTCTCCTATTGTAGTACTAGTTAGTATATTTAAGCCTGATGATTTGAAATGCAGTTTAAAGGGAATTTGGAAGTGTACTGTATCAAGTAAATAAGGCATATTTTAGCACATTATAAATAATTTACCTTTCTTGTCGCCCTTCCATATAAACTTCATCTCATCTCAGTATGCACTCTGCTGATGTTAGTCTTATTCATGAAGAGCACTGGAATCTGATAATGCATAACCTCTTTCCTTCCTAGAATATTTATATGGATTTTGAATTTGAATAAACACTTTAATAAACCTGTTAGTCCAGAAATCTTAAAAACCTGAAGAGAAGTGAAACTGGGAAAATGTTCTTGCTGGGGAGGTTAGTGGAGGCAGCCAATGTGATCTGAGAGGTTTGTATGCTGGAGTTACTGATGAATCAGTAGTTTTGCAGGGCAGAAATTTCACTGAGAGGTTAGTAAATGTTATCTCAATACCGAAGCGTTCCCATATCTTGTTTAAGAGGAGGCATGAGTTTATATTCTTACAGGACATCTGCTCCAAAAGCCTATAAAAATGTTTTTTTATTCATGAGAGATGTAATTTGTATGAATTCGGATCTTAATTTCCTTATCTGAGTCAGAAGCATACGCATCCACACACCTTTTGTTTGTGTTCCAGGATAAAATTCAGATCCTTGTCTCCCAGTTACATTGCTGATTATAGCATCACAATTTGTTAAACTTAAGAAGCCAGAACTTGAATGTTTTTGGGTACATAACAGTTGCATAGTTTGAGGACCCAGTTCCATTTTTAAAAACAACGTGGATGGTGATGTACCACAAAAAGGCAGACTGGCTTTGGCAGTACCTTCTAAGTTTACATGTCTTGCAGTTGGATGAAAATATCGATTCCTTTCCAACCTGAGAGGCTTAATGAAAAGTAATTCCAAGCTGTTACATTTTAATATATATTATAATTTGCAGATTGTTTTTAACAGTTTCGACATTTTTACTGCTTTTTTTCTTAACTGTCTTTATGGTCTAAAACTTGAGGTGATGTGGGTCCAAGTACTTAGTTTACTTTTGTTTTATTGTTTGTGGAGAAAATGTTTAGGTAATACATTTACATGATAGAATCCTCAGAATTAAAGAAAACTTATGAAGTGTGGAGGAGTGGATTTTTTTCTTTATCACAAATGCAATTACATAATGTTTCTTTTAGATTGATTTTAAGGAGAGGGATTTTAAGGAAAAGGAGTGAGGATTTAGCTAACAAGTTATATTCTAGGATTTTTTTCAATTAAGATGTGGTGTTTTGAAATTGTTTTTGTAGACTGGCCTTGCAGGTTCTATTTTTTTCAGATTGTGTTCAAAGTACTACTACCCTCTGCTTTGTAAAGGATTGCTTATGTGCTGTGCAATGTCTCATAATTCTGTAAAACTTGCGATGTTTGAAAAAATTGTCTTAGTGTTCCAATATACTGAGTGATCTTAATGTATTTTAAGTCGAAGTTGGCTGGACACTAATAATACGTGTTTTCCTATGAAAGGAATACGTGTCTTTCTATAAAAGATAAAATTCTGAAGTGATTATCTTTCCCTCATGAATCAATTTCAAGTCTAAATTGTCTCCTTCACACACTGTGGAATTGAGTATTGGATGTGGTCCCCCTCTACCCCTCCACTTTCTAAAGCATTTATTAAGCATATTGTAGTAGTAAATACTTTAGTGGACTACTGTATTACAGAGACTGTTTGCTTGTGTGTTCTGGTCTAAAAGTAGTAGGGATCTGGTGACCAGGAGAACATATTTTTTAAGGACAAGTTGCGTCCTTTATCCTCTGTCACTCATACTCAAGCTGAAGGGGTTTTAGCCTCTGCTCTTCTCCTTCCTTGAATTCCCACACTGATTTTTTTTTTTTTTAAATAACTCTTACTTTTAGAGGAGGAAGCCATTATGAGCATCTTATGTTTAAATAGCAGGGCTAGATGCTACTCTTGGTCTCTGGATTTTGTGCTGTACTTCTTGTTCATTGACAGTTGACAACAGTGATTGCTGTTTTGAAAGCTACAAATCATGTTAGCCAAAACTACTGGAGTTCTCTGATTCTGGCAGGTGCAGTTTTTTCAGCTTTATCCGGAGACTCAGTTTTTGAGAGATTTTTAGTGGCCCCTCTTTGATAAGGGGGAGTACAAGGAAGAGTTTTAGGTATGTTTTGTCTAGGTAATACACTGATTGCAATTCTGTGTTCTCTTTATTTGTTACCATTTTAGCCGGCTTATCTTTTTTCTGTAACAAAGAAGAAATTAAGCATTATGGCAGTACCTCTGCTAATGATGAGTCCATCGAATACAGGCTTCCTGCAGAGGTTTTAGGCTTTTGTGTATTCAAAGTGTGGCAATTTTTGAAGATTCTCAGATAAGTAATCCTTTTTCTGAAGTTGATACAGATGTATTTCTTACAAAAGAATCCACAGAAGCATATTGTTTAAGATTCGAAAGAAAAGTATTTCATTTTATGGTCATATGTTCTTAAGGCATTTTGGGTTGGTAGAATAGAACAATTGATTAATATTGACTCCTGTACAAAACCCGAACTTCTGTGCGTGCCTAAAGGCTTACATTGTGGAAGTGAATAAAAATGGACAATGTGCTTTTTTAATTCTAGCTTAAGTATTGTGCTGCTTCTATTCTTATTGTTAGCTCTGAATAGAGAGCACAACTAACATCTCTTTTGCAGTTTGGCTGCTTAATGTAAATGAGAAGTCGAGGTGTACCAAAAAGACTTTACAGAGGGGTTGCGTAGCTTAAATAAGTAATTTTTCCTTTCTTGTTAGTGAGACACAAATAATTAAGATCAAAAGTAGACTATATCTTTATTACATATAAAAAGAAATAAGAATCTAGGCTTAAAAGCACAATAGTCAGATTTCTGAAATGCGTGTCCTTTGAGGAAAATAAAATGTGCCAGGAGCTCGAAGTGGTTGTATGGACTATAGAAACTGCAGTCAATCAGGCTTTGCTGAAGCAAAAGAAAAGAAGCTATAACAAAGTGCGTGGTAAAAAAAAATAATACAAGGAAGGAAAAAAACCAAGGTGTTGAGCACTTGGGAATAGGAAAAGATGAACACAATCTAAAAAATGTGGCCAGAAATAAGAAATGATGATTGGAAAGGAAAAGAACAGTAAGAAATTATATTTGATGAGAATGCATAAAATGCATAAAACTATGCAGTATGACGTTCTCTTTCTTTTAGCAATATTCAGATAGTTGGGTGATTCCCCCCTCCCACCCCCAGCAAAAACTCATCTTTTTTTTTTCCTGTAATGAAAATCAGTGCCTCCCTTTAACTGTTTCCTAATGTGGTATTCCGTCTTGCAGGTATAAACCAATTTGCCCTCTGAAAACTTAGTCTTATTGCTAAGGGTGATGGTGTAATCTCAGTCTGGAGCTTTGTTGGTGAGGTATGTATTTGGTGAGTGGAAGGTGAGCAATTTTAATTGTGGAAATGGGAGCTGGAGTGAATTAAAGAGAAAATGAATGGATTCTTTCAGCCAGAAAATGATTGAAGCACCATACTGAAGATGTTAGGGGAAAAAAAAATAGGTGCGGTGTTCTAAGGTCTACAGAATTCTTGCAGTGGACTGTAATCATTGGTGAATATGTTAGTCCATATTTTTCAAGTTGCTTAAATGTCTGTGGATAAGCAAGACTTCTAGTTAAATCATCATGTTCTGAAAACGAGTTAAAACATTCAAAACGTAATGTGAAAAGGATGCACACTTTTTAAATACCACAGACAGATACTATAACATAGGCAGAAAATTGTCGTTCTGTCCTATCTTACACGAGGCTCTTGAGGACAATTTCCTTCTTCTGTGTAAATGAAAGCCACCAATTAAAATAAAAGGTCTTGGTTACTTTTTAGAAGTGTTACACTAACAGTAAGCCTGGTCAAATTTTCGTGTTGTCAGCATTCACAGTGCTGTTATGGGGAGAAGGTGTCTGTTAAAATAGTGGAATACAGCTCCACACTCTAGATACGTTTGATTTTTGTAACCTAAATTTAGACTGTATTTAAAACTTTTGATGTTGTAATCAGCTGCTTCAAATCTGAAGACAGAAGAAAAAAATATGCAATGTATAAATGATGTAATATAAAGGTTTTTTGTAAGTTTCTCTTCGAATTAAAGATGCTGAAGAACTATGTGAGAAGAAGCATTTGAAAAATACCTAAAGCATTTGGAAAGCATTTTGGCTATTGCCAAACATTGTATTAAAGCTGAAAGTCAACAGTGAGGATTTTCACTGGTGGTAGAACTTTCAAAGGGCAATCTCAAAGTTGAAATGTGTTCTTTCCATGCAGTCTTTTAATCAAATGTAATCCCCCCCCAGCTTTTTGGTGTATTGGCTTTTTCATTCTGTGTCTTGGTTACTTCATATTGGGGTGTGGGGAAGTAATTTTGATTTGTGAGGTGGAGACATTTAAATACTTCTCTGCATATGTTCTTTCTTTTGTAATTATACTTGAATTCGGTACATCCTGTAAAATGTCTGGAAGCTGTAATTGTTCAGTAAAATGTTACCTAGCCGGTAAAGGTTGTGTTCTGTTAATTCAAGCAATTTTATATATATTGTAAAGGTAAGGAATAACACTGGGTTTAGGCAGTTGATGATCTGTGATGTTTCTGAATTCAAAATGCATATAACAGTATTTTATGGATGCAAAACAAAGGCTTTATCCATCTATTTGTACTAGTTATTCAGTTTGCCTTTGTGATGTTGACAGTACGCACTCTGTTAAATAGCATGCGCTCGGTATGTGAGCAACCTGCCTAGAATAGCCAAGCTGTATTTATTAATCCTCCGTACTTCACTGGCAACTGTGCCTTTCATCCTATTTGCCCCTGCCCCCAAAGGGTGCGGTTCCTTCCCCAGTACAGCGTAAGCTCCTTCTGCCTGGCTCAGAGGCCCTACTGGCACTGTCTCCAGTTTGGACTACCAGTCCTGATCCAGATCTAAGAATGATGTGAAGAAAGGTAGTAAGACAGATGGGTTGCATGTCTGCATATAGTCAAGGGTATGGAGAAATTCTTGAGGAGGTTGGGTTTATGTGTTAGACTTACATAATAACTGTACTTTGACAATCCCAGCAAAGTTGTCCAAGGCTCTTAAGAAAAAGCTAGGTATCATTCACTTGAAATCAGTCAGCTTAGAAAGAATCATAGAATCATAGAATAGTTTGGGTTGGAAGGGACCTCTAAAGGTCATCTAGTCCAACCCCCCTGCAATGAGCAGGGACATCTTCAGCTAGATCAGGTTGCTCAGAGCCCCGTCCAGCCTGACCTTGAATGTTTCC